TGGGTTTCACACTAAAGCCTTCCAAAGCAGTAGCACATATGCTGTGCTGGCTTCAACAAGTCCTTACAAACGCAAGGTGAGGTCCTGGGGGAATTCTCACATTCTCACTGACTTTAACCAGGTCTGTTTTTGTTGCTGTTGTTGCCATTATTGTGTGTTGAAGAGAAGAGCCCCATATGGGTTAAAAATCCCTTTTGCTGTAGCAAGAGAGACATATCAGGAAAAGGTCTGCCCGGCCTCTCTTTCCTCGCAGCTGTTGCCCTCAGATTCTCCTTTATAATGAAGGTCTTCTTTATCAGGGTCCCCAGGGAATCCGTAGCAGACCCTAATCTCTCTCCTCTCTCTCGGTCAATGAATAACTCTCCGGTGAGGAAAGGAAAGGGCAAAAAAGCAAAGGATAACAACACAGCCATCATGGAGAGAGGGGGAGAGGCGAAGCTTTTCCTGCCATTGTCATGCAATGCTCAGCGATAAGAGTTCATGCGCAGGGCTGAGAAGCATGAAAAGCAATTACAGATTTATGCCGAGCCTGGAAATTTACTTTCAAACAGTAATTTACAGTTCCAAAGACCTGAAAGACAGCTAATTACCATTATAGTTACTTTTTAAAAAAGTAACTCTTTTTCAAAGCTATTTTTTGAAAAGTAATGAACTCTTCACGATTTCCCCCAAGACAACTAAAGTTGTCTAAACTAAAGACTGATTTTTCCCTCTGCCCTGGTCACAAGCCACCTATGTAAGTAATTAAAAACTTACTGATAGACTGCAAAAGGAGTGAAGTTATACCTTGTTAAGTTACAACTCTAAGGTAACTTATTTCTTTGTTTTTTTAAAAAACAGGTAATTAGTGGCATCTAATTATTTCCAAGGACTTTATTTATGAGCCATTTTAAGGAATCACTGGGGTACGGGATGCAAATTAATCAAGTGCTTTACTTTTCCTGGATTTATTCTTTCTTACCTTCTTTGTATAAAATAAAAGATAACTTTAGCTTGGGCTTGACATACTGTTCAGAGGATAATTATTTACACATAATTAATGTGGTTTACTCTTTTTTTTTTTTGGGTAAATGTACATGGGGCACTAACCTCCCCCTACTCGTAACAACACAGCCGTTTATTGTTTAAATCAATAAATGTTGACTGAAACTTCCATATTATTCAGGGAGGCCCAGTTTCAACGGGAAACACTCAAGAGTTTATATTTCTTAATAGAATTTGTTTTGTTTCAAGGCCAGCCCTACTATTAAATGGCAGCATCAAGTGGCTCTCCCGGGCTGTGGATTAAAGGTTCCATGAAAACGTACCAGATTGTAACTTTTTTGAATTGTTATGAATGTACTTTTTTACCACTAAGAATGGAGAGGATTATGGTAAGACTTGGTTCCATGTTCCAAAATTACAAAACTGGCTTTGGTGTCCATCTGCTTGCATCTGGTTGAGTATGTTCTGGACATAGGGGCACAATTTTCAGCTCTACCTTAGGTGGAAAAATGTCCTGGCCCAGTTCTGTTTCTAGACTTTTAGAATCTCGGAATCTTAGAACTGCAGAGCTGGAAAGGACCCTATAGATCATTGATCCCTGTCAAGGAGGCTCAGTGGGAGAATTGAACTCCCAACCACTAGCTCCACAGCTAGAGACCTAAACTGCTGAGCTACCCGGCAGTTATTAAGGGAATAGGGAGCAGGAGAAATTGCTGAGCTACCTGGCAGTTATTAAGGGAATAGGGAGCAGGAGGGGAAAACACATACAAGGAAGGCCTTCCATACTGATGATATTCTTTATGGCAACCATATTTGTCCTGCCCAGCATCTCTGCTATTGGTGAGATCTTAAATTTACCTGTAGCTAATTCTTATTCCCATGAATTACCAGATGCAAGACCAAATTCTCTCTGTGACCAGCTTGCCTGGCAAATAGGGAGGTTTCTACATATTTCTGAGGAATTTTCAGGAGACCCCACAATCATGCGGGGGAAGACAAGCAAAATGCACTGCACATCCTCACAAATGGCTTGACACAGTTCAAGGCGTGTCGTTAAAGAGTGAGGCACCTATTTCCTTCACAAATACACGAAGATCCCATTATTTTATTTCATACGGCCACACGATTCAACCAAAAACTTCCATGACACTGAAGGGTAAATGGTTAACATGAAAAGACTATATCAAATATATTTCTAGCCGGTTTTGTTGTAATGGGGGGCGGGGACAAATCCATGAGGTTTGGAACGTCACATGCTTACCCTGTACTTTGTGGGGTGTGTGTGTGTGTGTGTGTGTGTGTGTGTGTGTGTGTGTGATGCACCCGCAAAAGTACTCAAAGTTCCCAAATTATTTTTCTCTAAAAGTTATTTTCTATTAGGTAAAAGTCCTCTTATGCCCTCTAGTGACAAACTCTTTTTAAAAAATGCTCAGTGGCTCTGAGACTTGGCCCCCGGAAGCTCTGAGACTTAAAACATGATAAAATGCACTCCCTACACACCCCCATGAGAAAAAATTGTGAGGAAAAATATTTATAAAACAAAAAATATCTGCGTGTATTTTGTGTGTGTGTGTGTGTGTGTGTGTGTGTGTGTGTGTGTGTGAGGGCTGGGGAGATCAGGGGTGCTGGGGAATACATTTTAGCCCTTGGGAAGCCTCTCTTTTGCTCCTCATGTGTCCTCAATAGAGATGGGATATTTGTATTCGTAAATCAAAACAAATATCTTCATCCCAGCTGGAGCTCATGTGGGTCTCGCCCCTGGGACCAGATCGTCCACTCCTAGGGCTGCAAGGGTCCCGCTCTTCCTGCCAATGGCGGCGGGAGCTCCACTGTCTCCCTGTTCGGCTGGCCAATCAACAGCCATGCAGGGAAGAACCGCCCTCCCACCCCTTGCCTGGAGGGGCCAGCCGAGCAAGGAGACAGTGCAGCTCCTACCACCATTGACAGGAAGAGCGGGACCTTCACGGCACTGGGACGCCTGAGTGGAGAGGCTGGTCCTGGGGGCTGGACCCTCACGAGGTCCAGCTGAGATGGGGACATTCATATCCATTTACGAAAATCCCTATCTCTAGTTCTTAATAGGTAAAGGTAAAGGTTCCCCTTGACATTTTAGTCTAGTCGTGTCCGACTCTCGGTCATGGTGCTCATCCCCATTTCCAAGCAGTAGAGCCAGCGGTTTCCATGGTCACATGGCCAGTGCAACTAGACATGGAACGCCATGACCTTCCCACCAAGATGGTACCCATTTACCAACTCGCATTTACATGCTTTTGAACGGCTGGGTTGGCAAGAGCTGGGACAAGCGACGGGAGCTCACTCCATCACATGGATTTGATCTTACAACTGCTTGGTCTTTTGACCTTGCAGCACAGAGGCTTCTGCGGTTTAACACGCAGCACCACCACATCCCCGATAGTTCTTAATATCAATGGTATTAATGAGAAATCTTAAACGTAGAACTGCAAGGCTTGAAGCGATCATGGAGTCCAGGCCCAAGGAACAATTGCACTCCCAACTTCTAGCTCAACAGACGAATGTCTAAACCAATGAGCTAAATGGCTCCTCTAGTTTCGTTTGTGGATGACAACACGGATAGAAAAATGGAGTTTTCTCTGAGAGATAAACAACTTTTTTTTAGGATGCATCTAAAAAATGGAGGGGTGGCAGCTGAGAGTAGTGATGGAGGCTTAGCCATTGTATCTCTTTAAAAGAGTGCAATTGTATTCTCCAGAGTAACAAACTTTTAAGCTAGGGGGAAAAAAAAAGAAAAGGCAGGTGGTTAGAAACGTTCTTTGCTTTCATCATCTTCTGAAGGACAAGGAGGCTCCACTTACTGCTTTAAGAGCCCCAGAGCAGCTGAGTAATTCATTTTGCATGGAATTATCTAATAACACGGCAAAGAAAGAAACAATAAATAAAATATTACAGCTAGATGAGGAACAAGAATTAAAAAGGAGGCCGTTGTATGGTGCTATCAGAGATCCACATGTGTGCAAGTTAATTGTTTAAGCAAAACTTGGAAGGAGGGAAGAGGGAGATGAAATCTTGTTGCAATACACTTCAAGAATTTGTTCTGCCAAGAGAAGACGCATACATAGGCCTGAGTCAAGTGGGAGGTATCAAAGCTACTTTGGTCCAAAACACACAATGCTATGGAAATGTGCTTTGAATTAAGGACACAGATTTCAAAGGTTAAAAAGGACTGTTTTGTTCAGAACAATGCCGAACACAGAAGATGGGAACTGGAGAAACGGAGTAAAGGATAGCTACTTAAAGTACTAAATCCTGCAACAAGTCCCTAGGATATCTTTCAGCTCAAAGCTAATGGAGAGTAGACTAGACTATCTGGAGAACTCATGTGTTTTCCTTTTCTAAAATCAAAACCCACCTGAACCTCTGAAATCAGATGAAACTATTTGTAAGAAGGTGATATTCTAAACAGAAATAGACGAAGTTCTATTGGAAGCCAGTAGGGACATTGCTGTCCAGATTGACTGACACAGGACCTTATAAAAAGAATAATGAAAGTTATGGAGTACTGCATTATTGCATTAATTACGGATAAATAATTCACAACTGGATGGATAGCTCTGTGGTTTAGGTCTCTTACTTTGGATCCACAGGTTGGGAGTTTGATTTCCCCACTCTGCTTCCTGTGAGTAGAGCCAGCCCGTGTAGCCCTGGGCAAACTTCACAGTGCCATGGTGCCCCTAGAGGAAGGGAGTGGTAATACGCCTTCCTGCCTCCTTGATGTCCTGTTCTTGGACAGATAGGTGACCATAAGCACTGGTCTGGTCTCCAAAATAGGCTTGTGTGCCTCTGGGACAAGACAAGCATCAAAGTGACTGCAAATTCTATTGAGGTATAGCCTAATCATGTTCTTAGCAGAAATGAATGGCATCCTGCATAACGAACAGCCAGTGGAAAACAAAACTATTGCACCTATCATACTGTACAAGCTCACATAGTTCCATTGGGTAGCTGGGAAGTCAACAAGCAGAAGCCAGAAATGTTACCTGCTCGTTCTCGTCATCATCACTGCTGAGTTTCAGATCATCTTCAAGCATTCTGTGTGGGGGAAAGAAAAGCAGAGAGAGAATGAAAAAAAATGTAAAACTAACAAACATATGTTAATATCTGGTTTTAATAAATGCAAGTTTAAAGCATATAATAAGATTACTTCTAGGATCCTCAGCAGTGGATACAGGCAGCAGTTACAATCTAGAAATGCCGATTCTGGGTGTATTCTCATTTTATTTTACTTTGGACAGTGAAAATTGCAAAATACCTTTCCTCCCCATAGTGTATTCTTTACACTCTCGTGCAAAGCAAGGTTTATTTATATAATTAAACAAGAATAATGTACAGGATTCAGATCTCTTACTGGAAAAGAGGTCATTTATCTACATGAAGTATCAAAGCAATTAACAAAACAGGACAGAAGTTTTAATCATGAAGAGGTAGACTGTGCTTAGAATTACGCACAGAAGCATCGATGGTGTGCTGTTAATAAAGGGCTAATAAATTGTTGCAAAGTTGAAGATGCACCAATAAGGCAAAGCCATCCGTAACTTCTGGCAGAATACCTATGATGTTGTTTTCAATGGCAAGAAATAATGTTTTGGAACTTTAAAAACCTGCCTCTTTATACTGGTACAATCTCTCTGGCTATGGCATGCTCCATTACATGCATGGAATGGTCCAGAAGCGAATATGTGTGGGTAAACATTCAGCAAAAGTGCTTTACAAAGTTTGGCCAAAAAAACTGCACCAGATATGGTGATAAAGAAATATCCCATTTCTGTTTGAGGCCATCTGATTGTAAATGACGCTCGGCAATCAGCCATTAGGTATGTTTCTAACCATACTTGACTAAATCCTTCTTACTGCTCCCAGAGGAACAGCAAGATTTGTTATTTTTATGTGCCAATCCCAATCACGTCTGATTTAGGGTGAGCTTAAGATCTGATGACCTCTAAAAGAGTCCTGTCATGAACACTTCTCCTCAGGTCTTGCAAATTACATGCATCTCACTCAGTTTACTAGAGCTGCTTCTGGGAGGCCAAAGAATTCTGATGATATCTTGAAGAGATCCTTGCATTAATACAGGATTCAAGACTGAGTGTTCAAGCCTCACAACCAGAATGAAACAAACAACCATTTCAGGAAGAAAGCCCGCAATGGGTCTTGAACTGACATCATGTGGGGCGAAGGGTGGAGATGTTGCTCGTGTGCCACCACTCAGCTGTGGTGAGAATCTGGGGCTCCAAGAAGAAGAGACATATCAACCAAGGAAGCTGCCGTGCATCAATTGGCTGGAGTTGGTCAGGTGACCTTCCCCGATCTTCCTAAAAGTTTCTGGGCCTGGATTTTGCTTGGTTTGGACTACAAGGCATCTCACTTTCAGAATCTACAGCCTTGATGTTTCTTCCTCTCTTTTCTGCACTGAATTTCACAAAATTCAGTTCAAGAGAAAGTGTATTAGATTTGTTAATGAACAAGCGAAATCTTTGCAACGACACATCGTAAACTCCCCTTTTTTTCTGAATGGGATACTGTATTAGTCTCAGACAGAGGAGACCCATTGAACCAAAGGATAAACTCCCTTTTTTTCTGAATGGGATATTAGTGTCAGACAGAGGAGACCCATTGAACCAAAGGGATTTGTACCAGTGTTGACTTAGCAACTCTCATTTATGTGGTGCATCTACTTTAAGTCAGAGAATTAATTAGATTTAGCCCGTGGTATTTAAGTAACATGACTCTAAAGCCACTTTTAAACATCCGAGCTGAATGAAAGATCTTGATTCCTTCATTTGCTTTCGAGTGTTGCCGTTAAGAACATATGCATTGATCTTGTTATTCAAAAATATTTACAAGGTTTTAACTCCTCCATCTTAAACTTCTCTGTTTATTGTTTAAAAGTACATTGAAGAAGGGTTAACGGGTTTGTAAGTCATCCGTCTTTCGCTGACCTCTGTTGTCAGGCATCTCAGCTGTTACAAAACATCTAGACCTGAAACTACTGGTCATTAACCTCTTAATCAATGACAGATGCCTCTGTCAAGTGTAAACCCATAAATGTGCGATGAGGATCAGAGATCTCTCTCCCCCCCCCAACCCCGTCCTAAAACAAGAAACCTTCAACTAATATTAATCCTTAACGGTTTGGATTTTGGGTGACAAATGGGTGTTTGCTGCTTCTTTATCTGGATGCCATCTTTGTTTCTACAGTGGCATTCATTCCCTCTGATGTTCACGACAACAGATCGGCAGAACCTCCATTTACCCTTGATTTTTATCAGCACGGTACATTACACTCTACTCAAAGGGGCCAAAATGCCTTTAAGATTTAGTTACAAAAATAGCATCCAACCATCAAGCTATTTCAGAACGACAATCAACATTAGCTCAGTCCCAAATCTGTCCTTTAAAACTTCCATACCTTTTCTGTATATAAAACCTCGGGCTTTTGAAATGAGACCTTTAAAGCAATCCGTTCTGCCTTATTAAAAAATATAATGATCTAAAGAAGAAAATGTTATAGATAGATCGACATGTAAACCACTGAAGTTGAAGGATCTCCTTCCTTCATTTGAGATACATTTTACTTTTATTCTCTTGCATGTAAAACATCCTTACTTGACACACTCTGATAGAAGTAAACAGAGATGATAAAGGAAATTAGAGATCAGACAAATGGAAAGAACAAAGAAAACAGACGAAAAGATTTGAAAAATGAAGACAGGGAATAAAATAAGAGTAGCTGGTGAAGAACGGTGCTTAGAATGTTTCCTCATTGCCGGCAACTCTCTATAGATGCTAGTGGCTCAGATAAACAAAGAATGGGTTTACAGACTATGGAGAAAGACCACAAGTAAATAAAAGATGATTAGCAAGAAGGACAGCTGTTGGAACCATTTCCCAGCAAACTTGGTGTGCAGGATTTAGAGCGGTCCATTAACAGCCTTAAAGGAGATTTATGAAAGAGGAGGACAGCAAGTTTAGGTTTTTCGTGCCAATAATTTAAAGCACATAATTCTTTTTCCTTTTCTAGCTAATGTTTCTTCATAAAAAGGAGACCATACCGTTCCATCCCACAAGCCATAGGTTAACCAAGCCACAAACCCCCAAATATGTCAGAGTTTGAGGGCATACAGAAGGACTAAAACAGAAGTGAATTAAAACAGAATGGAAGAGAACTGCCCCAATCAGATGTAGCTTTGGGTAAGAGCGAGCATTTGTCCACTGTGCTGAATGAAGTTGGGGGGGATCTCTTTTCCTCACACATGAGAGTCAACTGGGAATTGGACTAAGATAATTCTCACCTACATCTTCTGTTATGTCAAACGGCAGTGGAAATTATAGCAGTTACTTCTAAATCTGCATCTATGAAGTCTTCTCTTGCCTAAGGTCTGAACTGATTGATGAAGACCTGTTCCGAAAATAGCCCAAGGGTGTAAGTAGCCCTTGGACCCAAACTTGGAAAAGTTACTTAGTGGGCCAAAAATCCCAGAATCCCTGAACTAGCATGAATACTATGCACTTTGTGGAAACTAGCATGGCCACTGAGCATGGTTGATTCTAGGTATTTTAACTCCAAAATCTGACTTTTGCAAGCTCTTACACAGGCTCTCCACCTTTGGTCTAAAAGGTCTTGAGGACAGCATCAGCCCAGCTTTGAATAAAAGACAACTGTTGGATATATTAAAGCAACTGTGCACGCAGGTAGCGAGGCTAAATCAAAAAGAAAATAGGCTTCTCCAGAAAGCGATCTCCAAGGATATTAGGAATTCACTTCATTTTCTATTCTCCTCTCACCCGGTTGACATTATTATTGAAAATGCATGTACTTGTTTGTCTTTTCATCCACAGCTAATGCAGCAGATCACTTTAGGGGGAAAAAGAGAACTCAAGGAGGATTTTTGATTTCATTATTAGAGAAATGCCTTTATACCGGATAGAACGTTCTCACTTGTCCAGCAACTTCATTTCCTGTCTTAGTGGCAGGCATGGATGTAGCCTTATCAACAAACAAGGACATTTCTAAACTTCTTTTGTGGCAGAACTATTACAGACAACCCATCATTAGAGACAGACCTTCTGTAAGTTTTGATTCTATGCTGCTGTCACAGAAGGAACTCTTCTCATCTTCTGCGTCCTGCAAATTAGCTCGCTCCATTTTGAGATGGACACAAGTCTGGCTTCTCAATCAGAAAGGAATCACATATTGAATGGCAGGGATGGGGAATCAGGTTGTGGGGCTTGCTGTCAAGTTGGACTTGAGTCAAGTTGGACTTAAGTCAAGTTGCACTTAAGTCAAGTTAAGTCCAACTTAAGACTCAAGTTGGACTTATGGTACACACTTGATTTGGATTCAACTTGTTTTTCCCTCTCAATAACCCAGAATTGACTCAAGACTCAGAGCCCGCCCACTCCTCCTCCTTTTTCTGGGGAAAAAGAGTTTATTTATCATGGGGACTAAAGGCATGGGACTCAGATCCAAAGACTTCTCAACATCCCTGTTGAACAGTGACCAGATTCCAGCTATAACAAGAAATTGTCAATACACGTACAAGGTGACTCCCTGAGTTTATCAACGAGAAGATCAATGCTTATAGTGGAGTGGGCAAGGGAGCTAGGACAGGACATGTAGAGCTGAAAAGTGGGAGTGGACGGCAGCGTATGGAGCTAACAGGAAGGAGAAAAGTAAAGCAGGGGTATCAATATCAACCAGCTAGACATGTATCACCAGTGGGGTGCAGAAGTGTTGGGTTTTCACAACATTTATTGAGCATCCACTTTTCCCCAAACACTGCATCTCCTGCATTAGGAAGATAATTATCCATTCCACCAATGGAACTGCCATCATTTCCCCTTAGTAGAGATTGATTGATTGACTGATTGATTGATTGATTGATTGATTGATTGATTGATTGATTGATTGATTGATTGATTGATTCATTCATTCATTCATTCATTCATTCATTCATTCATTCATTCATTCATTCATTCTATTTATACCCCGTCTATCTGGTCAGAACTCTCCACTATGACCTGTCCATCTT